TCAAAAATCAACTTTGGAAGGACTATAATTTAATAAAATTTGATATTTATGGAAAAAAATAAATAAATAAAGTCAGGTCAATAAATAAAAATCACAAAGCAAATCCTGCTAAGATCTAATATTAGTCAGTTAATGAGTTTATTCAAGTATTTTATTTCTCTATTGTTCTAAGTTGGAATTTAAAATAAATAAAATGAGTTTATTCAAGTATTTTATTTCTCTATTGTTCTAAGTTGGAATTTAAAATAAATAAATAAATAATTTAATTAAATAATAAAAAAGATTACATAAAAGAAACATTATATCATCTCCAAATAAACCCCCAATCTTTTCTACAACCATACAGAACAAAAAAGAATATATATTTTTTATTTTTTACTCTCTCTTCTAAATAAAATATTATGTATATTTATTTTTTAAAAAATATATCCAATCAAATCATATAAACATAAAAGATATACTTTTTTTCTTTTTTTATCTCCCTATTAAATAAATTATTTTAAATTATAATCAAATATTTAAAAATTTTTAAATCTCTTATTACCACACACACACATATATATATATATATATATTAAAAAATAAATTAAACAAAGAAATTTCTTTAAAATTTTTAGTTATCTCAAAGAAAAATTTTAAAATTTTTAGTTATCTATATGTATTATTTAAAAAATGATATTTATAATTATCAACTAATAAAATATAATTTTCTAATTATGAGTAAGATTATGTTTGGATATATATTCCAAATTTTACAGATAGATAAACTATCTATAGATATAGATATATATTTTTATTAGCTTTTATTTTCGATTTTATATCAAATATATGTGTCCTCAATAAATACTAATATATTATATTTATTTTTTAAAAATTAGTATAACTAATTAAATTAATTATTTAATAAAAGTAAAAAAAAAATTTTATTCTTATCATATTTAATATGTGCCTTATACAGTATAGTATTACCAATCAAAATCAAATTACCTTTAACTTTTCAACCAATAGTATTAAAATCTTAAAGATATTATATTCTTTTACCACATTTAATAGATACCTTATTTAGTATATAATATAGTTTCTCAGTTTATTCAACAAAATTTAAATTTGAATAGGAATTTTTCGGATAGAAAATCTTAATTTGAATTTTTTGATGGTAGCCCCTAATAATTGATATGTAATATATTTTTGTTCTTTTTCTAAAAAAACATTAAAATAAGAGAAAATTATTATTTTATCTTTCTATTTTGTTAAAATTATTCAAACAAAAAATTTATTAGGATCATATAAACTTTTTTTGTACTTTATTAATAACATTTAATAACATAATATGAAGACTTTTTTTTTCAATGTCATTAAAGGACTTATATTTAATAGCAAAATTTTTTTATAAATTTTAATATTTATTTATAGTTAAACAAATAAAATATTATAAATAAACATAATAGCATAAACAGTAAAAAAAAAGATGAAAATAATAGCATACAAAATTTCTTGATTAAGATTTTTAATAATATATAATATTACTGTTATACTTTTAAGGTAACATACTAAATTATATACTGATTATACTTTTAAGGTAACATTACTTAAATTTTATATTTTAATTTTTTCGCAGTTGCACAACTGAAATTTTTTTTAACAAAATTATTTATATATAATATATAGTTTTATAAAATTATTTATATATAATATATAGTTTTTAATCTCTCTGCTAAATAAAATAATTTAAATTATAATCAAAATATAATCAAATATTTAATAAATGAAATATAAAAATTTTTAAACATCTCATTATCATAGCTATTTCTTAAAAAATAAATTTAAAAAAGAAAAAACTTAAAATTTTAAAATGCTTAAATATCTATATGTATTTATTTAAAATAATTTAAAAAACTGTATCCAATCAACTAATAAAAATGTAATTTTTTTTATTGGCTATAATTAAGACTATTGTAGGATATTCTAAATTTCATTAAGGGTGATATCAAATATCTCATTATTCTCTTCTTACTACATTTATATATAGTATAGATTAAGAAAGCGAGAAATTAATCTAAATTATAATAAAAACATTCATTACCTTGACTAAAATACCATTTACTTTAGAAAATTAAGGTATTATATTATTATTAAGGTTTTTAGAAAATGGTACCAAAATGTCATTTAGAAAATTAATTTCTAAATACCTTGACTAACAATTTCTTTACTTGCAAGAAGAATTCCAAGGATTGGCTCAACTCTCAATCCTTATATATGTGATTGTATTATAAGAGAAGAAGAAACTCCAACTTTAATATTTGTTATACATGTAAATAATGTTTTATTGGGATATGAATTTGCAAAGATTAATGATCATCCATACACATTATAAATAATTAATTGAGGTAAGTTAATTGTATATTAATATAAATTAGTTTGATTGACCTATTATTGGTGATTCATGAGAATTTTTGAAAGTTTAGATTGTTCCAAATCTATTTGTGTTTAATTATTCCCTTGTAGAATAATATAAACATAAACCAAGGCTTTTTGGTTAGTGTAAACTTTATGGTAGCATCATAAATTAATAGGACAACATGGGTAAATAGATTCTAGTGTTGAAAACCCTAAAAGGATAATTTCAACTAATGATGTGATGACAACATTATAATTTAAGATTAATGAATTTGACCAAATATCCAAAAACAAAAGCATCAAATGATCTATTATGTGCATGTTCTTTTAGGATTTGTGTGTGATAAGAAAACTCATTAAAGAAAGCTAAGGATTTAGAACCAAAGGTTTCAAAAGAGTCATTAAGCTTTCCATTTTCTTTCTTTTCAAAATCATTACTACAGTCACTCCCATAAACCCAATTGCATCAAAATTTTCCTTGAAGTGCATTATGACAATCACCTCCATCAAATCGAGAAAATTATAATTATAAAAATAAAATTACAAAAAACACTTTAGACTGTTGTTTTCTACATTGAAGTGACTTCATTTGAAAGGGGTATGAAATAATTTTTTTTCATTAAAGTTGATGGATATGACAGAACTTAGTGTCACTGTTTGGTAATAAATAGAGCACAAAAGTTGCTTCCATAACTATTAGAGGCATAAAGTTTCCAATGTGATCTAACCAGGTTGTGACACATACAAAAAGATATATATATATATATATATATACTTCTACTTTAACCAGGTTGTGGACAACATTTACAAAAAGTGTATATTATAATATATATAATATACTTTCTACTTTTTCCTTTGATGAAAAAAAATATTGCTTTTTTGTTAATGAATTTTTTTATTTTTAAATATATATATATATATATACTTCTACTTTCCTTTGATGAAAAAAAAAATATTGCTTTTTTGTTAATGAATTTTTTATTTTTAAATTTTTAATTGAATTTTTAACTTAATTATAAAAAACATAAAATATAACACTATTAAAATTTAAAATTAATAAGGGTACTAGTTAGAAAATTATAATTCAAAATGAATTATATATTTAATTCTTACCATTCCGAATATAATATTAAAAGTTCCTTTGCAAATGAAATTTTTAAGAAACTTATTTATAAATTAAATAAAAAAATAAACGAACTCCCTGATTTGATGGCTCAGTTCAAAATTTCCTCAATGATTATTATAAATCTTATTACAACCTCCTTAAGTAAAGTTAGGTTTTGACCTTTTAATAATTGTAACAATAGTAAAAGTGTTATTGAGGAGTTCTTTCGTTGATCTTTTACTTTTTCGACAGTTTGAAATATAATATGGACTGTGGATTCTCTGTGATTGGAGACTTTAAATCTTTAAATTCACTTAAATATTTATTATTAATAAAGTTTGGTAGCGTGATATATTCATCCATTAAAGTTTGATATATTAAACTCTTCTACTAACGTTAGTTATAACGAGTTTTTTAAAAAATAAAATTCTAGATGATATTGTGAAAAATTTATGTTGTTGTACTATTTGAAAACGTAACAATTTTTTTCCCGAAAATTTCTTGAAAGTGCGAATTGCTGGGTGCTTACAACATATAAGTACATAGTAAATATTAACAAACGGGAAAGAAAAAATCATAAAGAAGAGTAATTAATTAATAACAAAATATGTACGTACTAAAATATAGTAAACATGCATAAATGGATAACCACTGACAGGCTGATGATCAAAAGCCAAGCTATATTTATATATAAATAGCTACTGGATGAAGACAAATCTATATATATATGATCTGGTAGATGATAACAGAACTCTGATGTGAAATTTTGTTTTTCATAAATAATAATAAAAAGAAACATCCTTAATAACTAACACTAGAAGTAAATAACTGAAAAACAAATTAAAAGAAAAAAAAAAAAAGAACACAGGGTTGAGGATTTGAGTCTGAGATGGATAACAAAAGAAACAGAAAGCTGAGGAACCCAAAGCCTTTATGTTGAAATACACATCCCTAGAAGAAGAAGACTGATAAGAAAAGTCAAGCTTTTTCTTCTTTTTTTTTTTCTTGCTGTTGTCCTCTAATGAACCACATGTATATACATATGGTTTTTGTCATCTTCTCTTATTTATTTCCCATCAAAGCAATAAAAAATAAAGAAAAAAGAATTAATACCCACATGATCAAAGGGGGAAAAGAAAATAAAAAGTGGGCAATTGAATAATTTTTCCCACTTGAAAAGATGAAAGAAAGAGGGGAAGGGCAAGTCCCATCTCTGTGTGTATCAATCTCTTCTCTTATGAGCTTTCCAGTCATGTCTGATGGATGTACTTGTTTTAACTGTTGAAACCTTCTGTTCCTCAGCTTTCTGTCCCATCCACCAATATTCCAAAAGGAATGTGGGACTCCTTGGGTCTGCTCCCAATCAACCAGCACTCTCTGCCTCTTTTTAGTATTTTTCTTTTAAGAAAAACCCTATGTCAATTCCTTCCTAATTTTCCGTACTCTTTTGCTAATGAAAAATTCTTGTTTAGAACATGGTTAAGCACAGACCAATTAGTAGTACATGAAATCAAAATATATTTATCAGATAAATATCATTTTATGAAAAAGGGTCTATGATGAACCACCATTCTTTTAAGAATTTAACATTAGATAAGAAAAAAAGTAAAAACGAAAAGGAAAATCTCCAGCCTCCAAGCCAACCCTAGGACATCATCAAATTGAAAAGCCTAAAGACAAGGGTTTATACCAGGACCTTGATGTGTAATAGAAATTTCACAAAAATAACTACAATTTCTATAAGAGAGGAACTAGTGTTTTAAGTGAGTGGAATATGTTATTCTCTTGTTCTTCATCATCGATCAAGGTCTTGTTATAAACCCTTCTTGGCTTCACCAAATGAAATATTATTGTTTATGTTTCCTGACCAATCGAAGAACCCATATGGATCCAAGGATTTGCCGTCTTTCTGGTCTTGATCTCCACTAGTAGCATTAAATCCTTGGCTAAATAAAAGATCAAGTGAGTCTGCTTCAATCTCACCCAAATCAGCAAAGAAATCTTCAGATTGTTGCAGACTCGACTCTGCTGCCATTGCAGGTCTATAAGGAAAACCTCCTTCACTTAATTCAGTGTCATTATCCATCTCCAATTGCTTTTCAATTTCTTCATTGATCTCCTCCTTTATTGCTGTTGAGCTACTACCACAAGCAGTTGAAACCATTGTAGGAGAAAATGTATCATTGCTACTGCTTTCTTTATATTCTTCCTTTGCATTTCCTGTCTTTTCAGCCTGCAGAGAGCTTGTTGAGCTCTTTGAAGAAGTAGCACCAATGTTCTTTGGTGGCTGTGACCTTGTTGATCCTGCAAGAGCATTTCTTTGAGTTGGCCATGGATGGTTATGCTCAGAAGTGTAGGTTATAACTAGCATGTTAGGATCGGTCCGGCTTCGCTCCACTTGTTTCCTTGCTGAACATCCCTTTGAGCTGCTGCATCTATAATATCCCCTGGAATAAAATTGAATGACTAATTAGGTTTAACAATCAATTCAATTTGCAATGTTCAACAAAGAAAATGAAAAAAAAAAAAATAAATAGGAACTCTTCAAGCATTAATAAAAAATTAAATCAACATTCTACATTGTAATCCTAGTTCATAAGTTCAAATCAACAATCAAAAATTTACCCTACCATTACATGCAAAAGCTATGAGTTTTAGCAGAAAAAATTAATGAAAGTCTATTTTGCAGCGCAAGATATCAGGAATTGAAATTCTGATAGCTCATTCCATTTCAGGATTGTCCATGCATACAAAAAATGAAAATAAAAAACACAATAGCTTTGATTGGTTAGTTCACTCAAAATTGCTTGAATTTAGTTTTTCTGAAAGGAAAATTTAGTCGGTGTAGAATCACTTTAAAGAAGATTGTTTTGTAGCACATAAATTGATGCAGGAAAAAGGAAGAAATTATAAAGCAAGAAACATATTTGTTTTAGGTAATCATATTTATGTCGGAGGAAAGGAAAGGAAAATTGGGAGTTCAGCTTTTGTTTTTTCTTTTGTCTTAGGAACTTTATCTTTGTTATGAATCTAGAATGACAATACAAATTTTTACATACCTTGGATAAGGAGAACCTTTGATGGGTTTCTGACCATACTTTCTCCATGCCCATAAATCAGATGGAACTACTTCTCCACTAGGCCTGCTATTTGCAGCTGCTGGTGCTGGAATACAAACCACCTTCTTTGCCTGGCTCTTCCTAAACAAAATTAACAAAAAACAAAAATTGGGTTTTTCCATTTCCACAATCCAAGAGCGTACAAGAAACAAAAATTTGAAGAAAATGAAGATCAAAGTCTTTTTGATGTAGAATCAAACTTGTCAAGATTTAGTGATTCAAGAATTAACGCAATTAATTAGAATGTTCAATTCTATGTATAAAGCAACAAATTAATTAATGTTTCTTTGAGAGAAGATAAAGAATGGAAAATTTTCATATTCTAAAAACAAATATATCTCAGCAAAAATACAGTTAGTTGTTTCCTTTTGAAAAGGTTTTAAATGAAAGCTAAGTATTTGAACATTATTATGACAGTCAACAGTTACGGGCTGTACTTTTTTTATCAGATTGATTAAAGCCTAGCTATCAATAGATTTCATGCTTTGATTTATTTATAATTAAAAAAAAAAAAAAAAAAAAAAAAAAAAAAAAAAAAAAAAAGATTGATTAAAGCCTAGCTTATCAATAGATTTTCTTTCATGTTTGATTATATTTATAATTAAAAAAAAAAAAAAAAAAAAAAAAAAAAAAAAAAAAAAAAACAGTAAAACAATCCACCTGAAGTGAAAAAAAAAAAAAAAAAAAAAAAAAAAAAAAAAAAAAAAACAGTAAACAATCTCACCTGAAGTGATAGATGCATAGTATCCCTATAAGAAACTATATATGTAAAAATCAATCTTAATGTAGAGTCTTTTGCAAACCCTAATTTCCCCAGATCCTCAAAACTTTGTTGTGTAATAATGGTATGATAATCTTCATTAATGATATAAATAATATAAAAGTACATAAACAAATAAAATAAAGTAAAGTTACATTAAAATCATAAATTTAGTTGTTTTAAATTCATAGAAACAAGTGTAACAAAATTAAATTAAACAAATAATCTTTAATTACCTTCTCTTGATACCCAGATTCCGCGGAGATGAGATCTGCACTGGCCCAGGATTCTCAATCAAACAACCTTTTGAAGAGCTATTAGTATTAATCATATCAATTGAAACCATAGGAGCAGGCTTAAAGCCCCGCGAAGAAGCAGCTATAACACCAGAATCACAAGATGAGACAGGCAACCTAGTAGGATTGTCACTATTGTTATCATTCTGTGAGATCTGAATCCGCGAAAATAAGCTTTTACTCATTTCTTGATCTTCAAAGACTTTACGAGCAAGATTAATATTCTGGTTATTGATATCATTTCTAGTGTCATCAAGAACAACAATAGGAGTAGCAGCAGTAGAAGTAGGAGTAAGCAAATGATGATCTGTAGGATTTGGAGAGCTAAAATAGGTAGAACCTGAAACAGCGACGTTTAGCTCATGAAGAAGTGGATCTCTCATATTACAAAAAGGATCACCAAAAATATTGCTGTTATTACTATTATTATTTCTGGAATCTTCCATTACTGCAGCTGCCGATGAAGAAGAAGAAGAAAGATTGAGTGGATCACATGGAAATTCCCAGTTGGATACATCTGATTGGCCTAAAGCTCCACCACTGGCTCTAAGTATATCTGTTAAATCACCTTGATAGTTGTCCATATCCAAACCAAAGAAACTGCACATACTATATTAATTCAAGAACATGAAGAAAGTAAGTTTATGTACATAGTCTGGTATAACTTCTTGCACCCAACAAAACGTAGAAGGCATGCAAAATTGTGGGATATAATTGGTTTTTGGAAGATGGGTTTATTTTAGTGATTAAGAAGAAGCAAGAAAATTAAGAAAAGAAATTAAAAACAAGAAAAAAAAGGGAATTTTCCAAGGTAGGAGCTAGATATGCAGTTTCTTGATTCTTGAATTCTTGAATTCTTGATTCTTGACTCTTGAATTCTTGAATTCTTGATTCTTGATTCTTGCTCTTCTCTTTCAGTAACAAAAAAAAGATAGAGAATGGTTTCTACAAGTGAGAGAAAGAGAGACAGATACATAGAGAGAGAGAGAGAGAGATAGTCGCTGACTTTTCATACAAAACAGCTATCTTCTTAAGCAACAACAACACAGAAAGAGAGATAGAGAGAGATAGAGAGAGAGAGTTGTTTATAAACTAAAATAAACTAAACTAAAAGTAAAAGTAAAATGAGTTATAAAGAAGAGGGTATTGAATAGAAACAAAAGAGGTCAAAATTATGTAACTGTTTAATGTTATTTTAGTGTTAGGTTTGTTCTTTTTTTTGCTTCTCTCAAAACTAATAAAGAAGATTTCTTTCTTTATTATTATTTTTTTAAAAAGACTTCAGCCAAAAAAAAAAAAAAAAAATCTATTATTATTATTTTTTTTAAAAAAGACTTCACGCCAAAAAAAACAAAAAAAAAAAAAAAAGACCACCTATGTATCTATCTATCTTTCAAAAACAAACAAGTGATGGCAAAGTAAAGAGGCGGCAAGTAGCCGCATTCTTCGGAAAACGTTTCGAAACTTTAAGTTTAGGCCCGTTTCTTTTCTTTATTTTCTCCATAATACATACAGCAATTGCCAACCTAATCATGAGTAGCTTCCCTTTGTGATATTATGCTTATTATTTGTGCATAGTAGCTTCCCCCACCCACATTCCCCCACCTAAGCTACAAAAACAACAACAAAAAAAAAAAAAAAGAAATTATTTATATCAAATCTTTATGCCAAACTTATTGTTTCAAAGAAAGGTTTTGAAAGTGAAGGAAAATAAATTTTTGAGAGTCTTGAACATGTTATGAGAAACAGGAGCAAAGATATGTCCACCTAACCAATTGCTACAAATAGTTTGCCAACCAATTCAATCAATAATTAAACATGTTTTTTTATATACTTCCACGAGATGTTCTGGCTCGTGTCCATTTTAACGGACTAATCTCGCTCGTTTTAGAAGCAATTTGGTGGAGGATTGAACTCATGATCTAAAGCTATAGTGATCAATCTCGCAAGTGCATATGTCGAATAAATAGAAGAATATAAACTATAAAGGTCACCATAATTAAGTAAAATTCAAAGAAAGAAACTAATAAGAAAGCAAACCCTTCATTCTTTTGTGAAATCGAGGTCATATAACAATTTCTGGTGGAATTACTGGTACTTCTATATTTATTTAATTTTGGAAATTTTAAAAAATAAAATAAAAATTATTGAGCTCAATCAAAGATTAATTATTTAAGCAATAAATTAATTTTCCACTTCGTTTAATTATCTAATTCCCATAACATTTTTTAGTATTAAGCAAAGAGATTTTACACTAATTAGATTTTGAAAATTGACTCTTTACAAAACTCTCATAAACTTAATATACTCTTTACAAAAACTATCCATCAAACTAATTCATTATATATTACTAATACTGATATTTATAATATATATATATAATATAATATAATATATAATTAAAAATTAATTTCTCATTTGTTTACACTTATATATAATTAATTAATTTTCTCATTTTACACTTTCATTTGCGAGTTTTACTAACTTTTATTAAGGTCACCAAATTGTTGAAGAAAGAACAAGACGTTTCTTTTGTCCCTTCAAAGCGATCGAAAATAAATTATTAAGAATAAGATTTGCAAATGTCATAAAAGTATATGAAAGAAACATGTTCTACAGATACAAAAACAGATAATATAATCAAATGGGATTTTTTAAAAAATACTGATAAGAAAATACCTTTTTGCTTTTAGTTTCATGGAAGTATTTACTGTTCCAAACAGAATTTAAAAAAAAAACAGAGGATGTAAAAGTAGTACCTTTCTCTATGGACGCCATGAATGTCTGAGCAAACTTCTGTCCAGAAAATGGATGCCATATCGTTTCAGAATTTTTCTTTATGAAAATGGTTAAATAGAAAGAAGAAACTCAGTACAAGATTGGACAAAAGAATATCTTTTGTTAGGAATTTTTAAAGTTTAATTTGAGTTTCCATAATCAAAAGTTACAAATTATGGTAATTGATTATGAGGGAAAGAAAGATTGTTTTAGGAGGGAAAGGTGATGAGAAAAAATAATTAATTTGGAAATATTAAAGATTTGAGGAGAGATTTTAGGTATTTATTTATCAATATGGTTTATTATTTTTGTTTCCTGGAAAGAAACATTCTTGGCTTTCTTTGTTGAGCATTTACATCTTTGCTTGTTTAGAAGTATAGTTTGTGTCAAAAGCATAAGATGAAATACCAAATTTCAATTACTCAACTTCTCTCACAAGCTGAGTTAACAGTAGAGAGAGAAATTCCATTTATTCATTTTATTATAATTTGAAATTTCTACCTTTTTTTTTTTTAAAATATCTTGCCTTTTTTTCTTTCTTTTTATGCCACCTAAAAATCTTGAAAAATAATAATCAAAAAAAGAATATTTCATTATATTATTGTTTATTTTTAGAGGTTGTTAGCGTAAAGGTTTTTGACTCCCGGAGATCAAACTCAGGTTATCCCAACAAAGTGTGCTTTCGGGAGATTGAATTCATATTCTCATCCTTACAGAAATTAAATTGAGATCGCTTATCATACCAACCAGTAACTTATTGGTAGCATATTTTTCTCTTGGCATTATGCCAGGATAAAAGGTTAGCATATTATTGTAAGAAGATGAAGACAAAAAAAAAAAAAAAAAAAAAAAAAAAACAAAAAAACAAAAAAAAAAAAAAAAAAAAAAGAATTGAGAAAAGTAAAAGCAAAAAAAACAATTATTTATCAAAAAAAAAAAAAAAAAAAAAAAAAAAAAAGAATGAGAAAAGGTAAAAAGAAAAAAAATTATATCGTCAAATTTATTCCTTTTTCTCTTGTTCAGTAGATGTCAAAATATTCTTGGAAATTCTTTTGTCTTATTATTAATTTTAGAAAAACATCTTATTTTTTTATTCTCATACAAAAGATATTCCTTTTTTTTTTTGTTTAGTAAATGTCAACAATATTCTTGAAAATTCTCGTTTGTAAAAAAAAAAATCATTTTTAATAAAACAATTATCTCATGACTAAAAAAATATTATGAAGTATTAGTTTGGTGTACGTAATTTATGAGATTAAATTACCATTTGGTCCCTATTGTTTATTGAAATTGACTGCTTAGTTCTTGTCTTTTCAAAGACATGAATGCATATCTGTAGTTTACACGTTAAACTAATGTTGGACTTATTAGTCTAATGGGTGCAAACCATATCACGGATAGAAGCAAGATGGATATTTTAGGCACGTTACGTCCTCCTATTCGTTTGGTAAAGATACGAGTAATTATACATGAATTTTTTTTAGAAAAATGTAATTATACATGAATTTAAGATGGGTACGGACAATAAAATTATTATCTTTAATTGATACAATTATAGTTTTCTAAATATCTACTACCGGTTACTCGCTATATTAAATGGGTTTAGTTATAGATACTCTCCGTATCTTATCAATTACTAAAAAAAATGTACTTTAAATAAGTTTCGATTTATATAGTTTAAAATTTCGAGACAACTCTATTTGTTTAAGGAATATTTTAAACAAGTTTGGGACGAGAATGGTAGTAAAATTTAAAAAAAATATATATGATTAGCATTTTAAAAGCATTTTCTTTTTTTTTTTTTTTTGTTTTAGAATAAGGTGGTCTCTTTCTTGAAATTAAACAAAAATAAATTTATAATTTAAATTATCTTCTGTGCAATGCTGTCATAAGAACAAATATATGCATTATCCTAATGGCTCATAGTAATAAATTAATTTATTTAATTATAATTTTGTGACTTGCTTACATAGTATGAAACTAATTAGTGATGGGATTAATTAGAATGATCAAACATCAGCAGCCACTCATATCCAAACATGGGTAATGCTTTTTACTTGTTTTCTCAACTTGGAGGCTTCAAATCTTTTCTGATGCAAGTGCATGCATCACTAACTTCAAAAAAATTAATAATAATAATAATAATAATAAACAAATAAATAAATAAAGTCTATGTATCTACAATTTAATCCCATATTATAATTGCAATTTGGTGATAATCATGAGTTAATTTTTAGATTTTATACTAAAATTTTATCATATAGTTTGGATTAAAAATAAATTCAGAATATTTTTTAATATATCAAGACGATGCAGGTTAGTATACTCTCGAAATTACTCGAAGAACAAGTGAATTTTGATGCATAGTAAAAAAAAACATACTTATCTAATTTATCCCCCATTTATTACATTTAATTCCCATTCATTACATAAATGGATTAAATGGGTAATTTCATTATTTTTACCACGTTGAACAGTCTAAATGGATTAAATGTCAGACCACGTAAGTAAACACATACATATATGGGTCTCATTTAGTCTCATTAGACAATATGATTGTCCATATCATTAGGAGACACCAAATTGAAAAAAAAATATAAGTCTAGACATTCAGGTCCCGTTTGTTACAGTTGTTTGTTTTTAGTTTTTTATTTATTAGAAACATGAAGCAATTTTCACTTTTTGATTATTTATTTTTTGAAAATTATTTTTGTTTTAAAATTTATTTTTTTTTATTCATGATGTGAAAAATTCTTCTAATTATTAATTCTCTCCTTTATTAAATAAAGATTTTAAGTTAATAATAAAAATTTTAAAAATTCAAAGTTTCAGACAAAATAATTAAGAATATTTTATAATTTGATTTTAAAATTTCAAAATTACAATAACTATTGATTATTATGTTGAATAAAAAAAATTTAAATATTATAATAAATAAATAATACTAAATGACATTAAATTTATATAGATAGAGAAAATAATAGAACACATAAAAATAATACTAAATAGAGAAGAGATAGAAAAAAAAAGCTGAAAATTTGAATAGAGATAAAAATATATGTTTGTATATTTTGGATAAATAAATGAAATATAGTCAGTCTATTTGAGACATTACCTCAAAGGTCCGTTGGGTTACAAGGTTGTTTTGTTTTAGTTTTTATTTATTAGAAACATGAAGCAATTTCCACTTTTTGATATTATTTTTTGAAAATTAGTTTTGTTTAAAATTTATTTTTTTTATTCATCGATCGTGAAAATTACTATCTAATTATTAATATCATCCTCGATCTATGAGTAAATATAAAGATTTTAGTTAATTAAGAG